TGTCACCATTTCAGTGTAAAAAATCGCTTTTTCTCCTCCTAAAATTCTTTCCTAAATCAAACTAAGCTGGTTAAGAGTTGATTCTGATAGAGATAGCTTAGCTGAGCTTCAATTTAGACCATTATTTTTAGTTTTAAAAATTGGAATTTTTGTCAAGCCTATAGCCTCACTTTTTGTCACCATTTCAGTGTAAAAAGATGCGCTTTTTCTCCTCTTAAAATTCTTTCATAAATCAAACTAAACTGGTTTAGAGTTGATTCTGATAGAGATAGCTAAGCTGAGTATCTATTTAGACAAATAATTTTAGCTTCAAAAATTGGAATTTTTGTCAAGCCTATAGCCTTACCTTTTCTCACCATTTCAGTGTAAAAAAACCGCTTTTTCTCCTCCTAAAATTCTTTCATAAATCAAACTAAACTGGTTTAGAGTTGATTCTGATAGAGATAGCTAAGCTGAGCTTCAATTTAGACAAATATTTCTAGCTTCAAAAATCGGCATTTTTGTCAAGCCTATAGCCTTACTTTTTGTCACCATTTCAGTGTAAAAAAACCGCTTTTTCTCCTCCTAAAATTCCTTCATAATTCAAACTAAACTGGTTTTGAGTCGATTCTGATAGAGATAGCTTAGCTGAGCTTCAATTTAGACAAATATTTTTTGCTTCAAAAATCGGCATTTTTGTCAAGCCTATAGCCTTACTTTTTGGCACCATTTAAGTGTAAAAAAACCGCTTTTTCTCCTCCTAAAATTCCTTCATAATTCAAACTAAACTGGTTTTGAGATGCTTCTGATAGAGATAGCTAAGCTGAGCTTGAATTTAGACAAATATTTTTAGCTTCAAAAATTCAAATTTTGTCAAGCCTATAGCCTAACTTTTTGTCACCATTTCAGTGCAAAAAAACCGCTTTTTCTACTCTTAAAATTCTTTCATAAATCAAACTAAACTGGTTTAGAGTTGATTCTGATAGAGATAGCTAAGCTCAGTATCTATTTAGACAAATAGTTTTAGCTTCAAAAATTGGAAATTTTGTCAAGACTATAGCCTTACTTTTTATCACCATTTCAGTGTAAAAAAACCGCTTTTTCTCCTCCTAAAATTCCTTCATAATTCAAACTAAACTGGTTTTGAGTCGATTCTGATAGAGATAGCTACGCTGAGCTTCAATTTAGACAAATATTTTCAGCTTCAAAAATCGGCATTTTTGTCAAGCCTATAGCCTAACTTTTTGTCACCATTTCAATGCAAAAAAACCGCTTTTTCTCATCCTAAAATTCTTTCATAAATCAAACTAAACTGGTTTAGAGTTTATTCTGATAGAGATAGCTAAGCTGAGTATCTATTTAGACAAATAGTTTTAGCTTCAAAAATTGGAAATTTTGTCAAGCCTATAGCCTTACTTTTTATCACCCTTTCAGTGTAAAAAACCGCTTTTTCTCCTCCTAAAATTCCTTCATAATTCAAACTAAACTGGTTTAGAGATGATTCTGATAGAGATAACTTAGCTGAGCTTCAATTTAGAAAAATAATTTTAACTTCAAAAATTGGGATTTTTGTAAAGCCTATAGCCTTACTTTTTGTCACCATTTCAGTGTAAAAACACCGTTCTTTCTCCTCCTAAAATTCTTTCATAAATCAAACTAAACTGGTTTAGAGATGATTCTGATAGAGATAACTTAGCTGAGCTTCAATTTAGACAAATATTTTTAGCTTCAAAAATCGGCATTTTTGTCAAGCCTATAGCCTTACTTTTTGTAGCCATTTCAGTGTAAAAAAACCGCTTTTTCTCGTTTTAAAATTCTTTCATAAATCAAACTAAACTGGTTTAGAGTTGATTCCGATAGAGATAGCTAAGCTGAGTATCTATTTAGACAAATAGTTTTAGCTTCAAAATTGGAAATTTTGTCAAGCCTATAGCCTTACTTTTTATCACCATTTCAGTGTAAAAAAACCGCTTTTTCTCCTCTTAAAATTCTTTCATAAATCAAAATAAACTGGCTTAGAGTCGATTCTGATAGAGATAGCTACGCTGAGCTTCAATTTAGACAAATATTTTCAGCTTCAAAAATCGGCATTTTTGTCAAGCCTATAGCCTAACTTTTTGTCACCATTTCAGTGCAAAAAAACCGCTTTTTCTCATCCTAAAATTCTTTCATAAATCAAACTAAACTGGTTTAGAGTTGATTCTGATAGAGATAGCTAAGCTGAGTATCTATTTAGACAAAAAGTTTTAGCTTCAAAAATTGGAAATTTTGTCAAGCCTATAGCCTTACTTTTTATCACCATTTCAGTGCAAAAAAACCGCTTTTTCTCATCCTAAAATTCTTTCATAAATCAAACTAAACTGGTTTAGCGTTGATTCTGATAGAGATAGTTTAGCTGAGTATCAATTTTGACAAATATTTTTAGCTTCAAAAATTGGAAATTTTGTCAAGCCTATAGCCTTACTTTTTATCACCATTTCAGTGTAAAAAACCGCTTTTTCTCCTCCTAAAATTCCTTCATAATTCAAACTAAACTGGTTTAGAGATGATTCTGATAGAGATAACTTAGCTGAGCTTCAATTTAGAAAAATAATTTTAGCTTCAAAAATTGGAATTTTTGTAAAGCCTATAGCCTTACTTTTTGTCACCAATTCAGTGTAAAAAAACCGTTCTTTCTCCTTCTAAAATTCTTTCATGAATCAAACTAAACTGGTTTAGAGATGATTCTGATAGAGATAACTTAGCTGAGCTTGAATTTAGACAAATATTTTCAGCTTCAAAAATCGGCATTTTTGTCAAGCCTATAGCCTAACTTTTTGTCACCATTTCAGTGCAAAAAAACCGCTTTTTCTCATCCTGAAATTCTTTCATAAATCAAACTAAACTGGTTTAGAGTCGATTCTGATAGAGATAGCTGAGCTGAGTATCTATTTAGACAAATATTTTTAGCTTCAAAAATTCGAATTTTTGTCAAGCCTATAGGCTAACTTTTTGTCACCATTTCAGTGCAAAAAACCGCTTTTTCACCTCCTAAAATTCTTTCATAAATCAAACTAAACTGGTTTAGAGTTGATTCTGATAGAGATAGCTAAGCTGAGTATCTATTTAGACAAATAGTTTTAGCTTCAAAAATTGGAAATTTTGTCAAGCCTATAGCCTTACTTTTTATCACCATTTCAGTGTAAAAAAACCGCTTTTTCTCCTCCTAAAATTCTTTCATAATTCAAACTAAACTGGTTTAGAGTCGATTCTGATAGAGATAGCTAAGATGAGCTTCAATTTAGACAAATATTTTTAGCTTCAAAAATCGGCATTTTTGTCAAGCCTATAGCCTTACTTTATGTCACCATTTCAGTGTAAAAAACCGCTTTTTCTCCTCCTAAAATTCTTTCATAAATCAAACTAAACTGGTTTAGAGTTGATTCTGATAGAGATAGCTTAGCTGAGCTTCAATTTAGACAAATATTTTTAGCTTCAAAAATCGGCATTTTTGTCAAGCCTACAGCCTTACTTTTTGTCACCATTTCAGTGTAAAAAAACCGCTTTTTCTCCTTCTAAAATTCTTTCATAAATCAAACTAAACTGGTTTAGAGTTGATTGTGATAGAGATAGCTTAGCTGAGCTTCAATTTAGACAAATATTTTCAGCTTCAAAAATTGGGATTTTTGCCAAGCCTATAGCCTTACTTTTTGGCACCATTTCAGTGTAAAAACCCGCTTTTTCTTTTTCTAAAATTCTTTCATAAATCGAACTAAACTGGTTTAGAGTTGATTCTGATAGAGATAGCTTAGCTGAGCTTCAATTTAGACAAATATTTTTAGCTTCAAAAATTGGAATTTTTGTCAAGTCTATAGCCTTACTTTTTGTTACCATTTCAGTGTAAAAAACCGCTTTTTCTCCTCTTAAATTTCTTTCATAAATCAAACTAAACTGGTTTAGAGTTGATTCTGATAGAGATAGCTTAGCTGAGCTTCAATTTAGACAAATATTTTTAGTTTCAAAAATTGGAATTTGTGTCAAGCCTATAGCCTTACTTTTTGTCACCATCTCAGTGTAAAAAACCTGCTTTTTCTCCTCCTAAAATTCTTTCATAAATCAAACTAAACTGGTTTAGAGTTTATTCTGATAAATATAGCTTCGTTGAGCTACAAATTAGACAAATATTTCTAGCTTCAAAATTGGAATTTTTGTAAAGCCTATAGCCTTACTTTTTGTCATCATTTCAGTGTAAAAAACCGCTTTTTTCTCCCCTAAAATCCTTTCCTGATCAAACAAAAAAGGATAAAAATTGTTACAGAGAGAGATAGCTTCGTATAGCTTCTATTTCTAAAAAAATATTTCTACCTTCATATGCCTTATATGCCTTACTTTTTGTCACCATTTCAGTGTAAAAAATCGCTTTTCCTCTCCCTAAAATTCTTTCTTGATCAAAGAAAACAGAATTAAAATTGTTTTAGATAAAGATAGCTTCGTTGAGCTTCAATCTCAACAAATATGTTTGCTTGAAAAATTCGGCCTTTTTGTAAAGCCTATAGCCTTATTTTTTGTCAAATTGTCAAACTGGATAACATTTTTTTCAGATTAAAATAGCCTCGTTGAGCTTCAATTTCAAGAAATATTTTTGCCTTAAACAATCGTTTAAGATTAAAATGGCTTTGTGCAGCGTGAATCTTTACAAATATTTCCAGTCTTTAAATCGGCGTTCCTTTTCAAGCCTTTAGCCCTACTTTTTGGCTACATTTCAGTGCCAGTGAAAACTTCTTTTTCTCATTAATAAACCTTTTTTTCTCTTCTTTAAATTCTTTCCTGATCAAACCAACTGGTTTACAATTTTTTCAGCTATAAATAGGTTCGTTTAATTTTCTTTTCGTCTAAAAATTCGCACTTTTTATATCTGCATATCTATCAAGCTGACAGGATTACCTTACTTTGGAAATCAAACGTAATGAATAAGCTTTTTTCTTTAAATGCATTTTGTATCAATGTAGTTTGGCTTAGAACAGTTTCAAAAATAAATTGAATTATTTTTGCTTTTCTTCTGACCATTAACTTGACTTTTATTAATTAACAGTTCCAGCTAAAGGTTCTGTTTACAAAGAGAATTTAGCGTCATTCAAATCTTCCATTTCTTATATTTCAACAATTGATACATGATAAGAAACTGATTCATAGCTGTTTGAGATACAATTAGATATACTTAACGTCTTCCAGTTAAACTTAACGTGGTTCTAATTGACATAAATGTGACTACAGAAAAGAACAATGCTTTACTCAATCTTGTAAGGCGTCTATAGAAAGAGAGAGGTCTATACCAAAAAGCAAGATGTAGTTTTTCTTAGCGACTAGAATTGAGGGAAAGTCAACTATTGACGAAAATTTAGGCCAAGTTTAGGTTGTGCTGGCTTTTAAAAGCTGCATTTAGTATCTGTATTCCGCAACTCAGTTTTCCAAAACTGTGTATCTCCTCAGAAATAAGGACACATAATTATTATTTACTTAATTTCTTGCTGATCAAGGATAGACTATTTTAACGAATTGATTTGACGATATTGAAAGAACGGAGTTAATACAGAATAATAAATGGAATGCTAATTGAATAATAGAAACGACATTATCCACTAATAGAATATCTTAGAATGTTTATAAATGTTCCTTTTCATTATATGTCATCGTCCATATCATCAATATCTATGTCCTGTGATTAAAAATATCAATCAAAAAATTATTTTATCTAAAATGGTCTAAAAACAGAGATTGTGCCAAAGATTGATACTGGCATCATCGCTAATATGAATTAAATGCTTCACTAAAGTATCTAAATCAAGATCGCTCTGCGTTTCATCTCCGAGTATCATGTTTAATACGGTCATTAGGTGATTTCCTGCAATGTCTATTCTGCATCAAGCATTATACATACATATCGTTTAACAGTTTTATTCATACTCATATAATTATATATGGAAATATCTGTTTTACTAGTCTATCATATTATGCTCAATAGCGTATGAAACAGGACTGTTCAAAAATGCAAGTCTCAGCAGCGTGCTTAATACGATGATCACTGTTCAACTTGATTCTCTGACAACTTCACCATTCAAACTGATATTAACTACCTTTTAAGAGTTTTTGGCCCTTGAAAAAGCAAATTGACTAAGGTTCATACTTACATCATCGCCGTCATCCACCTCTTCGAAATTATCTAAATCACTATCGATGTCCAAATCCTAAAGTGAGAGAAAGCTTTGTTATAATCAAAACTATCCAATCAACACGTGTCTGAATAATAAGCCGTCAGTGCAAATGACGACGGCCTAAGCAATGGGGTAGCGGGTAGCTCACAATGTGATTATGAGCAATATCAAGCAGGGAAAACGGAAACTACAGTGCTTTGCTGCTAAAAAGCTGGGCAATGACGCAATTACATTATAATCTCGGACAATCTGGGCTAATTATGTAAAGTAAAATTAACTTTCAAACGGTTCTTTGATAGCATTCAGCAGTTGGTTTACTGATCTTGAATACTCAAAGGATAAACGACCACGGTAAATGGTAGAAAGTTAAACAAAGCCCATCCGAAATCAGCTTTAAAGCTAAGACCTATTTGCCATGAAATCAATGCATCTAACATTCCTGATGTAATCATTGATTTTAATTTACATCCAAAGACAGAATATAACCATTTATTCAGTTATCATTTGATACTTTAACATTGAATGAAAAATTTTTGGAAATTTTCTAGATTCATTCTGACAAAAGTATAAAATAATTTGGTATACAAACCGGACTTTCAGATCGATTGCCATCTTTTTCCTTTCCGGTATCGGCTTCAGCTTCTGGTTTCTCTTTTTTGTCCGCATCAGGTGCTGTTTCGGCCGGGCGCTGAATTTCTTCCGATGGCTTGCTATCCGGTTCTTCAGCTGGTGCATCTGCCAGCCTTAGATTTTCAGCTGCATCCTTAAATAAAAAATATCCAATTATGAAGTTGAAGAGCTTCAAAAGGCATATATATCTAATAAATCAGAAGCGCAAAGATTTAATTATCCTTGGTTCTGTAACATAGTAATCGAAATAATACTGTAAAAAAGTAAACCTTTTAAAAATTAGTTTCTCAATGACTAGCGACACCCGAGGAAAATATTGAAAACCGTGGTAAAGATGAAAACAGCTACAGCCAGAAGCACATTAACACAAAATATTATCTTCAATTTGCAGTTTTTCATAATCTTAAAAATGTTTTATCTTATATGTGCTCTATTTTCATAAGCTTAATTTGCTTTAAAGAAACCAAGTTTTCCAAGCAAAACCCCTACAAAGAACTGTTTATCATATGTTCTTAACTAGCCATAAATTGACAGATTTAATCCGGGGTCCAATTAAAAATTTAGTTGCTATCAAGACTTAGTGACGCCATCGTGTCTCAATACTTGCCCCAGGCCCCAAAATGTCTGGGCAGATTTCAGGGCAAATTAAAAAAACGTCACATTATCAATAATAAAAACTTTAAGCTGATCTTTAAACTTTGAGACATACAGCGATCTCATCAATGTCTACACCACTCTCTTCTGCTTGCCTTAATTCTTCAAAAACGTTCCTGTCCAAGTTGCTCTATGGAAAAAACATATATCCAACAGGTCATAAAAGTAGAGGGCATTTAGTAAAAGACGTAAAAAATTTCTGACTGCTGATACATATCACGTGACATTGTTACTGTCAATCAAACGGGGTTAAAACTCAATAGTAGCTTTTAAAATATCAATAGAATTTGAAAACACCATACCGGAAGATTCCTATACTCTGAAGCAGGTCGGAGGATCATTCTTTCCTTTTTCAAAAACTACAAAAGGAATGCCGCATATCAAAACAAAGTCAATATGGAGAAAAAGATCACCAGAAAGAGGTAGCATATGATACTTAGTTCTCCTTCTGATTGCTTTATCAAAACTAGACTACCAGGTAATGGTAAGTGTGGATAACAAAACGTTAATGTATTGAAACGTGATCAGGGACGGATTTAGGCGGCAAAGGTCAGGGGAGGGGTGTGGGGGTTGCTGTTAGATAATGACTCGAATTTGGTGCCACACCCTTCAGGTGACTGGAAAATGATGGAACAGCCCATTTTTTGATTCAGTTATTCAGCTTTCAGATAATGAAGATAAAAAGTTAAAATTAAGTAAATCTTAGCATCATTTTCTTACTACTGACTACCAAAAAGTGATTTTTACCGATCCGAAGCAAAATTTACAAAATAAAACAATGATCAGCTCTGTTCTCTTTCAAGCTATTCCAACAAAATTTTACGTTTTATAAAAAGAAGAATTAGTTTTTATTCAAGAGCCTGTGCAAAAGACAATACTAGCAACGAAATCATAACCTTTGGCAAAATAAAACTTGGGCTTAACAAGTATTAGCTAAGAGGAATCTGATATAATGAATCTGAATACAGGTGAAAAATATAGGGACAATAGTAGAGACAAAACAGGTGACAAATAAAAATAAAATATTTCAGGATTAAAGGCAAAACTTTTTAAACTATTTTTTTCTATATATTTGTTTCTTTAAACTATTTGTAATCTACCTCTTCTGCTTTGATGGCTTGCTGGAGGTCTGGAAATAAATTCTCATACTGGGTCGGGTCGGCTAAAGAATCGGCAGCTTTCTTATTTGTTTGTGCCAAATTTTCTTTCCACATTTGGACAACTCTTGAAACATGACTTGGGAGATAAGTGCGAGCAAGGAAGGCAGCCTCTGGAAGGCGATTGGACTTGCACAGGAGCTCTAAACAGTCTTCCAATCTTCAAATAAAGAATCTTCAATTAGATGAAAAACTCGGTAACATGTATATCAACTGGAACAAAAATGCAGCTATTGTATATGTTCCAAACAAAATTCATACTTATATATCACGCAGCTCATTCTATTGGACTTCCTATAGTCTAGTTCACCTAGCACAGTCAAAGAAGGGCGTGAAATAAAGGCCATTGATGTCCCTCTACCGAAAGAGTAAACCTGTCTCAAGCTAGCATCGTAACTTTCATGAAATGCAAATAAAAATGCCAAATCTACATTTTTATATACACACAGTTGAAAAGTGAGTATAATTTACCTTCCCAAAGAAAAGTAAGCCAGATATGCTACATTATATTTTCCGCATTTTTCGGCTTCTGTTGCCAACTTAAGCATAATGTTGCCATCACAGGAACAGCTAGCCAGCAAAAGCAACGCTGCATAGTCCTGGGCCTTAAAAAGACATTCTTGGGCCAACGGAAATTCACATTGCTGGATTGCAAGCTCCGCTATTTGCTTCCACTTTTGCTCTGACTGTGAAAAAAATAACAAATATTGTCAGACAGGAAAATCCCATCACATAGCAAAAATCCTGTCAGATAGGCAAATCCTTCAAGATAGCCATAATCTTAATAGGTTGCAAAAATCTGGTCGGATAGGCAACATCCTGTCAAATAGCGAAAATCCTGTCGGATAGCAAAAATCCTGTCAGAAAGCCCATACATGTTTTTTAAGAATGGCAAAAAGCTCATCCAACACGGAGTTTTCCCTACTATGAGAGAAAAACGGCATCTTAATTGCATGCGAGAATGAATATAGTTAGTAAGACAACTCACGTCCGACTCCACGGCAATTTCATAAGCGACTTTTAAATCACCAATTTGCAAGGCAAGCTCGAATCTACATGAGAAAAATGCAGCATTTTATTTAATATGCTTATGCTGACTTCAATAAGCAGATATAAAGATCGGAGTTATAAACAGTATGGTCTGAAGTCAAGCTGGGATTTTTAAAAGGCAATCGCAGATAATAAAATGGCTTATGACATCTGTCAATCAACTATTAGCCAATCAATGAGCGTCTGAGTGCTATCACGCTTACTGATTGGCCAAATACTGATTGGCAGCTGACTTAAGCGGCTTTTGTAACAAATAACAAAAAAAACTTAATGAAAAAATGAGACTGTTCTTGGAGCAAAACCTTTGTCTTACCTATGCTCTGGATCACAAGACACAAGCAAGGCTTGTTGCTTAAAACCTTGTTTCTCAAGAAAATGTGCCACACGGTTTCGCTGCTCTTTTGGGATCGTGGGAAGAACCTGGGAACGAAAAAAGGATAATCGAGGTTGGTGTTCTCATAGAGCATTTATAACTAGGGTAAAGGAATTACTCGAACTTTCATTTGCTTGTTAACATGGCAATTTAGAGATTGAGATTAACACAGTTTCTATAGAAGAACAAAAACTAACAGCATAGTGGATTGAATCAATCAAGAATTACTCACTTCTTTAGCAGTGTCGAAATCTTTTCTCATGACAGCAGTTTGGTACTCAAGCACCGAAAGGAGCAAGGAGTAGCTGACAACATTCAACTCTTTATCAGCTAAATAGAGGCGGTTGTCTTTCGGGATGTAGCCAAGCAAATACATGTCACTATGATAAGAAATATAATGTCCCATTGAGCAATAAGATAACAGGTCAACAACGAGTAGCATATGCAGACATCAGTAGGTAGACAAAATCTGGGTGCCACGGAAAAGCTAGGATATGGAAGTGCTTATTGCTGTAAATTATTCGAAATTTTTCGAAGAATGGCTAACAAATGTCTAGAAAAAGACTTAGCTCACAGACAAGGCACATTCTTTGTTACCCTAAGTTTAGTCCCCATTCTAAATAAAGACAAAGAAAAATTCTAAATAAAGACAAAGACAAAGATGATCTGAAAGGACAATAAATACAAGAATCATTTTAACAATATAAACAAAAAATCCAAAAAAAGGCAGCTCAGTTAAATAAATACCACATACCGATCCAAGTGAGAAATTGTGACAATCTCCCCACCAACAAAATAGTTCAGGCGATTCACTACAAAATACAAGTCAAACACGTAATGAGTGGCTTGAAAACAAATTATTCAAAATACATCGTCAAAATTTGCCAAATACAATTGGTGAGATGAATTACGTCTTGGTTTTCTTGCTGCATTTACTCCACAGTATATATCTAAATTACATTCCAAAGCAGACGAAGCAGGCCTACCTTCTACATATTTACAGCTAATAATTGAAAGCAGTAACTCAAACCAACATTTTAAAAAAGAGAAATATACCTGAATTTGTGTAAATGAAGCAATCTCCAACCCATAAACCGGTCTTGATAACTTCTTCTATTTGCGATAGTGGCTATGACAAAAAAACCAAATAAAATAAACAAAAGCAGCTTGACTGAAAGCAGTGAATTAGGGCAATTAGGTGGCAGATCAATTTACGATTGACAGCAAGGATCACACAAGTAAGAAAACAAGTCTAAAGTTGGCTTAGTATAGCACCAGAAATACACAGATAGAATATCCTGAATGCTTTCAGGCGTCAGTCTTAAATACTTTCTACAAATACTAGACAAAGTTCTTTAATGCTATTTCTCGAAAATGAATTTCTTTCGACAAACAAAAACCGCAGTTCCAGGACACCTTTTCATAAGTCAAACAACGATAAATGTAATCCATAAAAGATAATCCCTAAACGATAACGGTCTTTGTCAGACTGACGCAAACCCAGATGCAGTGGCCTAAGCGTGGGACTTAAGGCTTTTGGAAAAAAACTGAGACAGGACCCCTTTCTACGGACTGTCAGAAAGTCCCACACAATGGTGTAAAGCGTGCTAAACACTATAGCAAGATGACAAATGATAACTTTTTTTCGCTAACTAGGAAAGAGGGGCTAAAATACATGCTTTTAAACATGGATATATGTAGACAGACTTTGGGCCCCTTCTGATTGGGGCCAGTTCTGATTAGGTCCCTTAGTTGACAAAATAAATTGCTCTAAACTGCGGCACGCCACTGACTAGATAAAATTTTGAAAGTAAACAAGCAATACCTCAAAGGCATCTTCTACTCCATCTTCTGTCATTAGCTCGTCCTTATTTTCCATAGCTCTTGTAACAGCATCTTGGCTGTATTTGAGAATGAAATAAGAATCTTCCGTTGCAATACAGCAAAGTTCACCACTGTCTGACCAGAAAACCTATAAGAAATATTACAATGGTAGATACGAAATGAGTATTTAAATGAATTGAAGGTTACGCTTCTTGTTGTATAGAACAGGGTGATTCTAAGTTGCTAGTCCGAGTTTTACGGTTAATGCGAACATCAGGCAACTGAGATCAAGGATATGAAAAAGTAACATACCAAAAACAAACTGTAATAAATGGTTTGGTTTTTGTACGTTTTTGTACTGGAAATGAGATTTACAATACAAAGCGAATTCACAGATGGTATTCTCTAGGAAAATAACACAAAGTTAGGCTTTAAACAAACAGATGTTATCAATATTATCAAAGTATTAAATTGGGGCTTACAATGGAACCAACAGATGCTAGAAGTAGCACGTGATGGAAGCTTGTAATCAAAAGATAGGACTAGCATCTTTGCAAGCTTAAAATTTGATTTTAAATACTTTCTTAAAGAAACCGAGTTTGTTCTCATAATCTCTTCTTAAAAATTTGGAAAAAAGAGGACCAAGCAATACTGCAATGAAGCAATCTTCAGCAGTGTTGAAATTAAAAACAAAGATGTGAGACAGGACTTACGTTCTTTGGCTGGATTTCAATTCTCCTGACAAGCTCAGTAGTTTCCCAATCATGGAAAGATAAACCAGTCGGAGACCTCACACCAAGCAATGCTCCACCATAAATATCTGAAGTAAGAAAACATTTTGACTAGTATCAGAGACTGGAGCAAAGGAATTTATCTATAAATGTCATTGGTATTCGGTATTCGGTTTTTTTAATGCCCGAGAGGCTCAAAGCAAAGAGAAGAAGAAGAAAAACAAGGCGAAGAAGAGAGAACATACGAGGAGAGAGAGAGAAATGGGATAGAGTTGTGTTGATTTTATCTTTGCAAGAGCTAACAAGAAGAAGTAGGCAGATCGAGTTTGCTTATTTTGTCGATACGACGATGGTAGGATATTGTTTGGTAATCTTACTTTCAGCTCCAAAATCAGGCTTGAAAGATTTTCGCTCCTTGAAATTTTTAAAAAGCTTGACTTTGCTCCCGTCTCTTGCTGCGTATCTGAAAGGAATCACAAATAACAGAGATAGTGCGAAGACATGGTACTGGTAATGTGTGCTGTTAATGCAGATTTACATTGTTTGTAGCGGATTCGAAGTCTAAATTTAAAGGCATTATCCTTCGATTAGAAAAAAATGGATGCAAACAACGATTTGGAGAATGAAATGGATTGGTCTTCAACCGAGTCTTCCCGTAACCTTTAATTTGTAAAAATACTAAAAGATGCTGTTCCATTATACCCACCAACCCCCCCCCCCCCCCCCAATTGACGCGCGCCAGCCAATCACATAACATGCATCTCCCAACAATGGCAAAAGATTTTGTCCTAAAATTATATTCTTGCTACAAAAGCCTTGTAGCCCTTAGGTAGAGGACACCTTGTTATATCGTGAAAAAATAGTATAGGCTTTACGGCAACTGAAAATAGCATAAAAGCCACTACATACTCTGAAGAATCTGCAGACCACACGAACTCCTGAGCTGCTCCAAAACTTTTATTTCTCAACGCCATGGCAGTGTAGATAATGTACTCCCCATCACCGCACACAACAACAAATCGACCATTAGGATTATGCGCCAGATTTTGGGGGTAAATTTCACAGGAGCCCATTTCTTTGACAGCTAGAGGAAGACGCTCGCCATCGTTCACTTCGGCGTCTAAAAGAGATGAAGGTGTCTTTATGAAATTTAAGATAAAGCAACACACCGTTGAGAACGAACCTAAGTGTATATAGTTATCAAACTACAATCAAATATTTGGACTCATTGGCTCATCGAGCTTCGCCCCCCTTTTCCCCCTCTTTGCTCCTCCCTCTGCCGTACCCTCTCTCTACTCATTTTAACTACCTCCTTTACTTTACGCATCTTCGGTGGGTGCATGAAAAACAAAATGACTATTAACGATAAGCCGTGATGCTAGTTTTTTTTGGAGGGGGAGGGGGGTTGGCAGTGATGTTTCTTCTGAATTCTGCAAAGCTTGCAATCAGAAAAGTTTTATAAACAAGTTTCCTGAAAGAAAATGCTGTTCGTTCTTCGTTAAACAAATGAAGACCATCCTCTCTTTGAAAAAAAATTGCAAATCGAACCAGATTAAAAATGAAACAAGTATTGATAAAAAATACATTAACGAACCTCCCAAATTCTTAAGGTTTGCTTGCAATATTTCGCTGTGCTTTGCAAATATGATCTTTCCAGCACTATCCATTGACATTGCCGGCTCTTCGCGTCCAAGCTACAGAAAAAAAACATCTTTTTAAACGGAAACTGCGTGCAATTTACAGTAAGTAGAAATATTTCATAATAAAATCACACAATACAACCCTTAACGAGTGGATACCTGTAGGGCCAGGAGGGTACCTGTCTGTCCGTCTATTCACAACAAGAGTCAATGGGACAAGTTCCTCTGTTCCTGGGTTGTTGTTAAATAACTATAAGACCTTTATGAAGTGATAAAAGAAGGAAACTATTACCTTGACCATTATGCTTCCCTCGTCATACCCAATGGCAACATTGTTTGATCCTTTAATACTTGACATTCCCCAAACACGGTCCATTCCATAGTTTAGGGTGCTCTCAAGACGGTAAGTATTAGCATGCCAAATGCGCACAGTACCTAACAAGGATAAAGATTATTTGACATAACTTTCAAATAAATTTGATCCGCAAGAAATGCAACAACAGAAAAAAGCATGCTAGACTCAGAAAACTTTAAAGAAGAGATTTGCAAGATGTCACAAATACAACAAACCATCTTCTGAGCCGGACAGGATGACAGGCAAAGCAGGGTGAAACAACACCGACGAGACATTTTGAGCGTGCCCTTCCAATGTCTGAACACATGTTTTGTTCTGAAAAGTGGAAAAGGGAAGAAAATTATTCCTCAGATACAAAAAAAATCCTTGATATCGCTAATTCAGGCACATCTCAAAGTGTGACACTGAGCACATGAACTTAATGCATCCATGAACTTAAATGATGATTAAATGAAATTTAATCAGAGTAAATTTCACGAGGGGCTTTTGAGCGTTAACTAAATTACATGAGATTGTTGTTATTACTATTTGGTTATGTTTTCTTGTGCCACGCTTCCTAGCGTTTTTCTTGTATCTGCTCTACTAGTTTATGGGCAATGCAGGGAGTCTTTCGGCCTCCTGTGAATTTGATTTGTATAACTAGGGTAAGATGTGTGTTTCGTGGCGTTTTCATTCCCTTGGCTAATCTAGGGGTATTAAAGGTTTTGGCATAGCGTGGGTCTCATTTTACTTGGTGAAGTCACAATACAACTAGGCTGTTTTATTGTATTTTCCCAGCCCTCCCTCCCTCAATTTGTTTCTTTATGCTAAATGCCTTTTCAGTATAACTTTGTGTGTTGAGTTTCTTTTATGGCATCGTTGAAACATCTCATGCCTTTAGGCATCTTTTATGCTTCTTAGAGTTTTCTGATGCTATTAGGTAGGACTGGTGCATCGGCTATTAGTGGGGAAAAGAGGCTTTTCCTGTCCATTCCCTCCCAATTATTAATCATGTTTGGGGGTTATTGTGTAATTTCCCTTAGTAACTCCTATATGGTAGGTTGAGCGATTGGCGCCGATGCACCAACGGCCCAACTCGCTCTCGATGATGTGGGAACGTAGCCTCATGACTGACCTTTCTGATGTCTATGGCAGTTTTTCTGAGGAAGCTTTATGCCCTTTATGTTGCATTGGTATTTCATTCCCGGGTAAGTAAATTAATTGATTTCAAAACAGCATACATGGCTAATTAAAACTTTTCAACAAATATTGTACAATATACTTGGAATTTCTTAAAGACGACAATATTACAAAAGCTTTTCTATAAGCTAACATTTACAAAAATCACACTCTTTGATGTTAGAAAAGCATATTATCAACTAAACACTATGAAAATTGAGCATAGTATAAGTTAAATCTACAGTCTGTATTCAAACCAATATCAGAAGAAACAAATTATGCAGATAAAGACAGGAGACTGAAAAAAAACAGAGGAAATTGGTTTGAGAAAGAGATAAATAGATAGAGCTACCTGGTAATCCCATATTTTCACAGTTCTATCATCAGCACCAGAGACAAGATGGGGTTTGTCACCACCGTGGAAATAGTCCAGGCAGTTCACTCCCTAAAAGCAGAAAACTTATATATTATATCAATTGCTGTTGCTTGCTGCAAAAACATAAAAAAGACACAAAAACTGTAAAACTTGTTGACGCAATATAAAATATCACATACAAGGTAGTGAATGATAGAAAACAAACCTTTTCGTGTCCTTCAAGGGTAAAATTTGGAGAGCCAGACCCGAGTTGCCAAACCTGTAAATAAAACAAATATATATAAAGTGATTTTCAAAACTACTTTCTTCTCTGTGAAAAATACTATCTGGATAATTTACAAATTTACTACAGTTTGTAATTTTGAAACTTCAAAATATTGCTTACATATCCCATAAAAATAGAATTGGTGACTTGTTTCAAAGATTTTACAATAAGAGGTTTCAAATTTGGGTTTCAAAAACACGACACTACAGCCCTTTCTTGCAACATAAATAGAAGCAAGATATTATAACAAAGATACAAGAAAAATAAACAAAATCATTCAGTTTTCAAATAGACTCTTTATGTCATTACAATCTTTTACGCACCTTGATTGTTCGATCAAGAGAAGCACTTGCAAATTGGTTGTTGTCTTTTGGATTAATGACAATCTGCATTACATAATGAGTGTGACCTTCGAAGACCTATAACAAAGGTTAGGTTGAAGTCAAACTTTGAAGAGGAAAGGAAGCAAAGTTGCTTCTGTAAAACAACCCAGAAAAATGAAAAAAAAAAATTTTTGAAATAAAGCATAACAACACATGGAGAAAAAATGATGCTGTGGAGCTTGAAGATGTTTCTTTTTATTGTATGAAACAAAGAAATGCTGACAAGAAAACGTTTGGCCTATAATTCTATAAAATCATATTCAACCAGTGTACAAATATAGATAAATGAAACTTGAGATAGGAAGAACACAATCTAGCTATTCTAACATGAATTTAAATTTGAGAGGGAAAACAAAAATTATAAGCATATCATGAACAACCACAGGCAATATTTCACTGAAAATAATCATCACGTTCCTACCTGAATGCAAGTCCATTTCTTGTCCCAATCCCAAAGTTTTATTGTCATGTCATCTAAAGATTAAAAGATATATATACATGGAAGAAAAAGCTATGGATTTTTAAGTTCTCATATTATGGAAGGGCACAAATTAAGCCTAAGCAACCAACATGAATGCTAGAAACATGGCAGTTGCATTGACAAAATTCAGAAGTATAAACAGTTAACCTTGTTTTCTTAAGTTCATTCAAACAACTTTGAAACAAACAACTTTGCTCATACATAAAAAAGATGAAATTTCCCACCCTAAGAAAAAAAGCTGTTGATATTTATGTGTGTACTGTGAAACAACAAATGCAGTTTGAAAATAAAAAGAGGAAAGACTGTCAAGAAGTAACCTTGCTATACAAATGTCAACTCACCACTGCTACTGAGAAGATATGGCTGGGAAGGATGGACTTGTAGTGACCTCAGATAGTCTGAATGTGCTTCAAAGCCATACACCTGGATACAACAAAAACTTACAGTACTGGGGGAATATTCAGAAGCATTATTCTAAATATATTGGCAATCACATCATCAAAGGAAGCCTTGGAATTCATGATCACAAATTTTGAAGTAATGAGATGATATAATGAGAAAATAACATATTAGGTATTTATATATTTGTACCTTTTCAAGTGTGTTGTAGTTGAAAACCTTGATCATCATGTCATCCTAAAACAAAGACAAGGACCGCTTAGCAATTCTTTTTCCAAAATTAATAACTTCCTAATAAGAACTATTCAAGATTAGAAATAAGTGATGCAAAATTTATCTTTCCCTTTATCAAAATTTTCCCATAAAATTTGAACATAGAAATTAGTTGTATTAGTGTTTTGTTAAAATTTAACGATTTAACTATTTTTTTTTATTCTGGTACTCAATCTATTTGCTAACTATATAATTGTTAGTTATCTTTCAAATGTCTAATCTAATGACTGCTCATGTATTGTGTTTCCTTTCATTGGCTCCATTTAGGCTGAAATTTTTTTTGCTGCTTAAGCTATGCTTTACAATACCTGGAAAGCTTTCAAGCAAAAAGGTATTGTACTGTTCATAGTGAGCCTTGCACTGCCTATCCAAATATATGAAGCAAATATTTTCCAGTACAGTATGATGTGAATGGGAAAATCAATTACTCTTTAGTTCATAATCAATTATCCATTGATAAAAAAAATCACTAGTTCTTCATTAAATTGCTTGATAATGCAATCATGCACAGGTATAAAAATAAAATTCTTACTGATCCTGTAACAACCCAGTTTTTCCTGGGGACAAACTTTCCAGCACGCACTGAAAACGAAAATAAAAATTGAGTAAAGATGTTTCAAAATTCTCGAAAGGAGACCTTGAAATTGCTTGATTTGATGTATATAGTTGATTTATTCAAAGTTATAGAATCGATGTAATGAGGCAAAAAAATCTGTTAAGAACTGAATTTTGAAAAAAAAACATTTTAAGAAAAACTAAAGCTTACATAAAGGGTTTAAAATGTCTTGAAATGTTTGCTTTTTCATAGCCATTTGAATTTTGAATTTCCAAATATATTTGTCAACATTTATGATTAAAATTAGAAAAATTGACACATCCAAGCAATGAAATTATGCTAATGCATTCAGTCTCCACAGAATAAGTTACAAATAAGATACAAAGAAAAATTTATATACATAGTTTGTTTTAAGTAAGAAGCAAATTCCAATTCTGTAGTCTGTTAATAGTAAGAATATCATGTTATAGTTATGTTCATCAATCAGTTGTATTGTCATTGTTACTGAAAAGTCAAAGGGGTTTAGATTGTAAACCAGATTGTTCCAAGTTGCAACTGCGAGTTTCATGCAACTCATTATCATGATGACAGCATTAAGGGTGAAACTTGGAGCTGCTAATTAGAACTGTCCTGTTTTGACACCAAAGAGCTAACATATTATCTCGAAACCCTCAACACAAGAAAAAGTCAAATGCAAAGAGGCAAAGAAAACAATTTTTACCTGGCAAGTCAGTAACCTCAAATGATTTAATGAGAGTTTGTGACTCATGATTCCACACATGTACATTGCCATTATACAAACTTGCTAATAACCATGGTTCATTTGGATGAAGATCAACACACTTCACCCTGTCTGACCTTGCAGACAGTCTTCGCTGTAAAATGAAATATACATTTGAAAATACTGATCTAACCAAAAATTTGTAAAATTTGACAGGATGTTGAGTTGGAGAACTGTGTTTAACATGAATTATTGAATTTCAAAGAGATGAACAGGAGGAATCCGGATTAGTTAAAACTGAAGGAACTATTTTCCTAACAAGGATTCTTCAATTATGTAACAGGCTAGTTGCCAAAGGTTGGTTGAAACATGATCCAATCAAATGGGACAGTCTTCCTGTCAAGGTTTATATGATACAGACTTGAATATAAATTTCTATCTTATATATACCTCAGTAATTGTATCTTATACTTTTCATACTACACTAAGGATTTTGTAAGTAAAATGTTTTGTAAATCTTTGCCTTTTTAGCACAATTCAAACAATAAGAGCATGAAAAGCATATTTTTACAATGACATTAAATTGATTGCATTATCTTATGATGACCACAGTCTTATCGTAACTGCTTAGCCTTCAAAATATAGAGCAATGAAATTATATATATATATATACTTGGAAAATATCTTTCACATATGGATCACGAGGAGGAAACAATTATCAGGTCAATAATAACATTATAAAAATTGCTTATTCTGTGAATGGCTCACCTTTACATCTAGTCTCAGTGGCTAAAATAAAAAAAATTTCATTACAGCATCAAAATTATATATATTCCATGCAAATAATTATCTTTCGATATATTTTGGTCCTTTTAGGTCTATATCCATTTTAACATCCATTAACATAAACAGTTATATTATTTTATATTTGATAGAATTAAAAAAATGCTGTAGCTAACATAACCTTAACTAATGTAATCATAATTGATCTGAATATACGGCACAAATGTTGCAATCATACACAATTTAACAGGACAAATTAGTACAACTGATCAATAGCAAATTAAAAAACTCCTTTATTTCAAAATGAAATTTTTTCTTTGTTTTGGAAAAACCAATTTTGTTGAAGGGTCAAATTTGAATCCAATGCGTCCATTCTTTAGAAGGGCAGACCAAATATATACCTCTAAGTTTGTAAGTTTTATAGATTTTTACTAACAATTTTGAAAGAATATGGAAAACCCTAATTAAATTTGAACTGCTTATTTAATATTTAATGGGTTTACACTAGAATTGAAATTGACACTAGGTTTACATTGGAAATGGAAGATCTGGATAAGAAAAAGAAGATAAAAATGTTGGCACAGAAGCCTCAACACTTAAACTAAATCAAAAATTGTGGTTTTTTACCCATTTTATTGTAGAAAATTTAAAATAATGAATGCAGCTATAGATGAAGTACAAACTGGTATGCCAAAGCCAATAATTTTACTCTTCTTGTTATACCTTAACTCCATGTGCAAAGAACAGTCATGGAATCCAAGTAGCTTAAGTTGCAGATATCGAAGATGGACTAACAATATCAATCAAACTGAGATTTGATTGAGATCTGATTGAGATCTACATGGATTTCATCTTAGGATTCGATTAAGAATCTACAAGCATTTTGAAGTTCAGGTTTCATTTCAATATTTCTTGAAAAATAGAGAGAGGCTTGCATAGGAAAAAGATAAAATTATGCAACCTAAAAGTTCATTAATTTCATAGCTAATACAGCTGGAGCTGGAAAGAAAAATGTGTTGTACCAGACAGGAAACCTTGAAAGTTTCAAACTGAGCCTCCAAGTTAAAAATTATCAGTTACTTTTATGCATAATAATGATAATTGCAATTATCTAGGGATCTTATCGTGGCTAATACTAAAAACATGCAGATGTGTGCACGAGCAATATATTGCAGGCACGCAACAAAGTTTCAAGTCTGGGTGCTGTAAATTGGAAGTAGCAATTTTCAGTTATTTCAATTATCATAAAATCCAATTATTTGGAAATGATTAATCTTAAAATTTATTTTAATAGGGAAAACAATACTTGAAATATTTATATATACATTATATAACTAGAAGCTATTTTAGCATTTCTTAGGGGTCGACCCCTTAGAACCGAACTGACAGGCGCTAATGCAGTAAAGTACCTCTTGAATCTATAGGTCCTACATAGGTAAACTATATATATACCAAACGATAGCATTTGATAACTATTATTAATACTGGTCCTTGTGGCATCATTAAGACAAAACAATATTCTCAAACGAGTAAATTGAGAGTTTACACTACAATAAACAGATATATTCTGCAAGGCAAATTCTATTATTCTCGATAAATCCAAACGAAAATTGCAATTGGTCGACACTCGACGAATGACATGGGCCTAGCAGCAGCAACACCATCTCGAGAGGAAAGAATTGTTGATCACTCTATTTATCGGTCTTAAACGATTATTAAGTCTATCAAAAATGCATTAGCAATATCAAGTTTTAAGTTTAACTAATGCTTGATAACACAAAATTTCATACCATGGCTGTTTAGATGTTGAATTTGTATCCAAATTTGTAGCTAAATGGCGGATGTTCCTTCGACTTTTTCCCCTGCTCTCCCTGTGGTCAAACGTGGCAGTAGCCTCGTTTGCAATTTGTAAAAGCAGCGCGCCGAAGGCGCTAGATGTCTAACTCGGTCAACAAGAAATGCAACCCCTCAGGTTGCGATGCGTGACGTCATGCCGCTGAAGTTGGACACTCGTCCTTCGCGCGATAGAACTTTCCAGCGTACGAAGGACTGGCCTTACATTGCACAACCTCTAAGATTTGTTCTACTTCAGTCATTGTGCTAGCCACGATTGTTTGCTACTGCGTTATCAAAACGTACTTAGGCCTTATTACAGTAAAAATCTGCATAAAAGAACTATTCTTGTGTAGACTTATTTAATGTTCTTATTCAAAAAATGTAAACAAAAAACATGTTTCTTAAAACCTCGTTTTAGCCAATGACTTCTTATGTTGCCCTTGTAATTTTAATTAAAATTCGATGAGTTGGTAAGTAGGTATACTTCAGACATAGTAAACCTACGTAAAGTGCAGATGTAGCTTAGTTCTTGTCTTGCTCTGATTAATGTCATTTAAAGTTTAAATATGATTAAAATGATCTTCCATGAGAAGAAGTATGAAATCTTTGTTATTTCAATATTGGGGTTATTTTCTGGCAAATAAGTGACCAGTACAACGCAAACGGATCAAAAGGTGAAAATAATTCGATAATCTCTTAACTAAGTACTCTTCTTGCAAAAATAAGGAAATCAAAAGATTTACACCAATATACACTTTTTGGAAGAATTATTGATGATTGGAAATAACAAAAAAAAATCCATTTTTAGTTTTTAAAGTTTCAAAAAACCTCACAAGCTCACTTTTTTTATCCTGTTTATACTCCTTTTTTCCAATTTTTAGCAAGCTTTGAACAATGGTGTATTTATCTTGAAAGAAAACTCCGGCGTCTTTGCTGAACTATTCAGAATAATATGAGAGCTTAGAATTTTTGTGGGTAATCTGTAACATGCAATTTGTTATTAAAGTGATCAGAAACATGCATTTTTTAGGGCAAAGGTTTTTAAAACTGGTGGTTGTTTTTTGTGGGTTGTTACTGTAATGGTAACTTTAAGGAATTCCACCCCTAACTCAGGTATTCACTGCAATTAGTAAACAAAACAATTTTACACTTAGTCATTGCATGCCAAGATATGTTGTCAGAATATATTACGGTAGGAAGTTCTCGTGTGCTGGGTTCTGACAGTGAATAAAAAATTTAATCGCATATAATTAAGTGCTCGCTGTAATTTTTACCAATTACACTCTTTTTTATAAGAACCAGTAAATTTAAATTGAGGCTTTCTGTTCTTAATTTTTTCGAAAATCTGAGGCTGGATTGTTCTTAATTTGTTCTTAAATTAAGAAGGTGTAAGCAGTGCTACTGTTAGCTTTTTCGCTCTAAGGAGGTGTTCAGGCCTCATTTGCCAACAAAGTGATTGAGACAGCTTTAATTTGCTGGCAAAGTTGAATACTCACCAAAAAAGCACCCACACATCGCTAAAAATCCTCTATTTTGAGAAAAAACGTTGTTCAAAATTGCATTTTGCAGAAGCTCAGCCTCAGCTTGTTCTTGATTTGTTTTTAACTTTTGACCAGTTTTGAGGCTCGTGTTCTTATAAAATTGTTCTTTTAAAAAAAAGAGTGTATGTAACTTCATTACGTCTAAGTTATTTTGGAATGTTCTGACCATTTGTTTGTTGTTTGTTGTCAGGGTAATCGATGATGTAATAGAACAACATGTAGGTAGAGACATGTTTTGTTATCACGTAGATTTGTATTCGTCGAATGATGTAATTACAAATGACGTTATGAAGCCAAATATATCCATCAATAAGTATAAATTAGACTCTAGAATAGCTAGGGTCTCACAAGGTGGACTCAAGAATAGCGATGTTTAATTGTTTACTCTAGGGTAAATCCTGAGGTAAATCTGTGTCACTAAGACCTAGGATATACTGGAATCTTTCTCGAGTTTTCAAGCTAGAAATAAGAGTTTCCAATCGTTTCTTGTTACGGAGATATAAGTCTGAAGGCGTCAATCGCCGTCTTTTTGTGTGAGAGATCAGCGCCTGGCATAAATAAGCAAGTTTTACAAGACGGCAGTTGGAACACAAAAAGATGGATGTTGAGGAGAAGTCATGGGTAAAATGCTTCAAACATAGTTTTTCCGATTACGAAGGATACGTAGCAATGTCGCAAGATGTCGAATGCTTGATTCGCGCCTTCGAAATTGACACTACTACCACGTTCGCGGTATACAAGTCGAAAACAAAAAACTTCGGAGCTACAGGTAATATACTAGATTGTATTTTATTATTCAAGACAAGTGTTTTTAAAGTAAAAATCCAATAGCTAGACCACCAAAGTGACAAAAAAATTACTAGACGAAAACTTTTGTTGGAAACGCCTTGATTCATTTGCATAATTTTCTTGTTTATACGTCATAGCCAGTTTCGGCAGTGGCAACGACTGATAAAGAAACAGCATTTGAAAAAAATTTGATTGGTTTGTGTCAAAGTCTCCCTCAAGAAAACCAGTCTCAACCAAGCTTCTGCCAAAAGTTCCAAATAACATTACGCAAATTTTAATAGCCATTCTTTCAAAAAGTCCTTTTTGTGAGAACTGGCCTTCAAGATCTCTAAAATTCAAGGGTCTGCATTTCTGAACAAAAAACATAGAGTGTATAACTTATATATGCTTTTCTCTTTAATGAATTGAAACCTTGCTTACGCACTCTTTTTCTAATAGGCAGCAGAAAAGGTATTTAATGAGTCTTTAAATAAATACATTTTTAAACAGCTTGTGTGTAAGATTTGTGTAAGAAGTGTATGCATTCAAAAAACAAATAAAAAACACCTTTGAAGCATCCAATTTTCATGCAGCAACTCATTGATTTTCAGAACTGAACAAAGAACAGAAGCACAAAACTATGTGGATGGCCCAAACACCATATATTTTGCTGAACTCTAAAATTTTGGACTGCCAGCACCGCCCTGACCGTCACTTTGCAGAAAAAGTAAAAAACTTAATAAACTGGCAGGGCCTATTTTTAGTGGGTGGGGCCGAGTGAGGCAAATTTGTTAACTTCCGCCATTTTGAATAGTGGCAAAAAGCGAGCCGCAATATGATTCAGTATGGAAAATTGCTTGC